AGTTCTCCCTTAGTCTTCGTCTGTTCACCGGTTAGGGTTAGGGTTAGGGTTAGGGTCAGGGTCAGGGTCTGGGTCTGGGTCTGTAAACCAGTCTTATAAACTCCTTGATTTCGCTTAAGCAACTTTAAATATAATATGCATGCACAATAAACTATTGTAAAATGTATTTACATCACTCGACAGAAAGGTTTTTGCCGGTTTTAATAAAATGTCAATTAATAACAGTCATAATAAACAATCATATTTCCAGTACGCGCCTCAGGCTTGCACAGTATCATCAACTCACTCATCAGAATCTTCGGTAATCCTCGGTAAACTTCGCCACGGCTCATTCGGTTCTTGTTGAGTCCTCGGTAATCCTCGGCAAACTTCGACAGTTGGTTGAACCGGCTCATTCGGTTCTTTTTGAGTTGGACGTGCTACTTCGGCTGTGCGTCCTGCGTCATCAACCCGGAACTAAAGTTCGATTCAGTTCGATATGTGAACCGGCTCGACCAGTTACTTCCTGAGAACCAGTGAGAACCGGCTCAAAAGACCGATTCGTTCAAGAACCGAACATCACTAAAACCCATTGCAATGTTTTATTGGAAGTATTACACATAATGAACCCATCTCAATGAACTCATGATTCACAGGTTCACAGAGATCACCCCCAACTGCAAACCATTGAAATTTCAAAACGTTTCGAAGCAGTTATTACTTAACGAAGCCTCGTTTACTGAAATCAAGTGACTTTGGCAGTTTGATATGCGCTCTGAACCACTGTTTCAAAACAAATGATTCGCAAAGGTTTCAAAGCAGTGGGACAAAGCACAAAGCAGTGCTTCAAAAATGCCCATTACTAGTATAACTCCCTTTCTTCAGAGATTTTAGGCAGAATGTTTCATTATATGCAGGAAAGATGAGGAATTTAGTAGACCAGCGATTCTCAATTCCAGTCCCCGCTCTGCACGTTTTGTATGTCTCTCTTATGTGACACACTTAGTTCAGTTCATGGATCTCTCTGCTAACAAACTGATGATCTGTATCAGGTGAGTTAAATAAAAGAGACATGCAAAATGTGCAAAGCAGGGGGTCCCCAGGACTGGAAATGAGAACCAGTGCTCTAGACATGTGAAGTGACTGTGGAGAATAGCTTCTTCTTAGTAACAAAAGGGGGTATATATGCTTAGGAGAGAGGTGAGTGTAACCAGACTCGGGGAAAAAAAACATGTAACCTAATTTTTATGTATTTGTTCACATAAATATATGTGTGTTCAGTGACTTCTGGCCTGCAGTTAATAAACATTCATGCATACAAAACCTTGTCATGCCTGGTCTCATTCTTGAGTCCATGGTGGTGATAGTGGCTGCTTGGAAAGACACTTTAAGTCAGACAGAATGCAAAATTTAACCTAAATGTCAACCCAGAACTAAAGTTCGATTCAGTTCGATTTGTGAACCGGCTCAACCGATTACTTCCTGAGAACCGGCTCAAAAGAACAATTCGTTCAAGAACCTAACATCACTAGAGCACAGTACCTGTGACAACTACTTTTTAATAATATTTTTTTCTGTTTTTTATTTTATCTTTAGTGTAGGTTTTAGTAATTTTGTTGTGCATTTTCAGTAGTTTTTGTTTTAATATATATATGGCTATTTTATTCTTTTTTTATTATTTTTCACTTTATTTTTTTATTTCAGTTTTAGTTTTAAGTTATTTTATTAAACCAAGTTACTAAATTAAAATAAATTATAATGAGGAATGTTGCATTGGCAGTTAGCTGAGATAAAATATTTTTTTTACATTTTTATTTCAATTAACATTTTATTTTATTTTTCTTTAAGTTTTAGTTTTAGTTACCTATAATAACCCTGGTTCGTAAGCCTATGTATTTGCTATTTTCCAATTTATGCATAATTAAAACTATAGTTGCAGATAATTATTTGCATTCAATATTGTTTTGTCCTGCTGTCTGCAGCACACCAGTGGAAAAGCACAGATCTAGTACATCCACTCGGTATCCACCAGCGTGGTTGATATGAGGCCGGTAAATCACATTGGAAGCCTCTTAACCTCTCTGTGATCTGGACATTAAAGAAATATTTACAGTGTTTAAGCAATACATCTACAGTAAGAACCCTCACAGGGATTAAGAGCGCACAAGCAGTATAACAATTCATTCTACAGATGAGGCTAAATGTCATCAATCATAATTGTTTATCCCTCATGTAAAACCAAGTACCACATCTCAGAAACAGAGGCGCTGCCAAATGGTTTCTACTGTAAATGCTTTCTGCTCGTTGACACATTTGACAGACGGGTAAAACAAAACAACGGACAAACGAGGAGAAACTGAAACTTTTTTCCAACAGGAAATCCTCTCACGAATATTAACTATAAATGGAATGAAATTAGCATTTGAGCAGGATATTAATCATGTTCCCAGGCACCTGTCAGTGAGCTAATTGGATAAAACAAGCAGCCAATCATCATCAACAGACAACTGATGTGATTTAAACAGCCTATCAGGAGGCTGGAGGGATTCTCTCACAGATCTGACACTTGTTCTCCATCTACAAATATAATCTATAAATCAACATGAGATGATATTCAAAAATTTTACTTCCATTACTTCCATTTTACTTCCATAATCCATAAAGATATGTGTATTAGGAGGCATTTCATAGGTAGAGATTTTAATTAAAAACTACAGAGTTTTTCTTTGGAATAACGTGCACCAATTCATCATATTTTAAGAAAGTAAACAGAGATTATTTTGTTTTTACTGTACACACACAACTTCTAGCCCTCTAGTTCACTTTTCTCTCTAACATATCAACTAGTGCGGTGTCTAAAGTGAGCTAGATTAGTATCTTATTTCACCCAAATGACATATCAAAGGGAGATGCGTCTCCTGCTAAAGTTGAAGCTGAGGTTAGCACTACTGTCACACTATCTTCACTTCCGAAAGGGCTTTGCTTCCTCTGACCTGAGGACAACGAATCAAACCGCAGATGTTTGAGACTGTGACAGGAAGATTAGTGATACCCCAAAGCCATGTTAAAGTCTCCGTTTAGAAACGTGCTGAGGGTATGTTCTCAGACAAAGCGTGTGAAAGGATTTCGCCTGGATGACAGTGTAATCAGAAGGTAGTGTACAGTAAAAGTTACTCTCATATTCTAGTTAAGCTTTTTTTGTCAAATGAATTAAAAAATAATGGAGATCTGTTGGAAGTTGTATTTTCAAGCTCTTGCTCATAAAACTAATTTTCTGCTCGCTAGACATTTATATAGAATATACTGACATATTATAATGTGCTTCCTTCAATTTGGTCCATACATTTTCTTTACTTTGTCTTAAAAAAGTCTTAAATTGACCTCATAAAATCTGCAGAAACCCTGCTTTGCTTTAACTGAAAGGCAGGATTCCTTCCTTTCATTTTGGCCTGTCTTCTGGCATCTAAGCAGTGGGCACAAAGAATAAGATGGAGCAGAGGAAGATAAAATCACAGTGCCACCACAGCTGTAGCCCTCTGATACAAATAAATTCATAACATCCAGCTGCTGTAGAAGGCCTGATTTATTAGAGGCTCTCACGAAAACGAGAGGTTTTGAGGTTTCACATGAGCTATTCGTCTCCCGCTATCTTCCAGCACTCGACTCCAGCTCCGATAAAAGCCCATGATCTATATCCTCGCCCCCTCACGGCCCCACCGGGCAACAGAGACCAGAGCACGAATCACTTGACTGAGGAGAGGATGTCTTTCCCATAGTACAGTATAACATAATGCCTGTTTCAAAAGACAGTACACACAATCTTAGCAGCAAATGATTCACACTAGATTGGATGATTCTTTACAGAGAGACAGCTATGGGAAAAAGGTCACCCGGTGATCCGAGCATCTCATATGACACCATTACCGTGACAACACCAGCCAGTGCCTGTGCATTTGTGCAAGTATGTTTGCACATGTGAGAAATGTCCTGTTGACAACAGACAACTGTGACGATGAGGATCGAACTCGAGAGGACATGCAAACACTCTCAGTGTTTGACCCCGAATCCCTTACACCCCCTGTATGACTGTGAAATGACAGACAGAGTTTTTATGCTGGCTACAGATGTGCGTCAAGCTCATCAGATATTCAGACCATGGTGCAAAATGCCGCAGAAGGGCAGCTTGCTCAAGGGAAGCTGTCATTTCATAAGACTACGCTCTCTTATGGTAGGAAGGACTCATTTTAGTAGATACAATTCAATAAATCTATCTCTTGTCTACTTGAATCATGTGTTTTTGAATCAATCTAGAATGCTAACAGAATAAATCTTATATGGTGACTACAAATCATTGGCTGCTGCGTGAAATTAGCATTGTGCTTTTTCATTGGACAACATTACATGAAAGCAGTCACTTTTTAGCTGAGCAAATTAGCATTCATGCTACATGGAACATTTTTATTTGAACTAATTAATCTAATTTGTGATTTGATTCAACTGTCAAAACTTACTGATCCTATGTTTGAATATGTGTACTTCCAACTGTCCTGAGCGCGTTCTCAACAACACAGCTCAGGAGGACGCGCTCCGGACAGTTCGAACAGTTCAGACATTGCGTGAATCAGAGGTAAAAAAACCTACATCTTGGATGCCCTTGGGGTAAGCAGATAAACGTAACATTTTAATTTTTGGGTGAACTATCCCTTTAAAAATAAAGTTTCCAAAAGGATGTTTTCAAAGAATAATTTTTGGTTCCCTAAAGAACCTTTCTGTGAAACATTCTTAAAATAACCATTTTTTCCATTGTGTGAAGAACATTTTAAAAATCTAAAGAATCCTTTTTCACTTTAAAGAACCTTTTGTGAAATGGAAAGGTTCTATGCATGTGAAAGGTTCCTCATGGCAAAAAAAAAAAGAATTTTTATTTTTAAAAGTGTAGCACAGAATTGTAACAAACCACAGCCCACTGATCTAAGTATGCAGCATAGTGAGGTCATGTGACATAAAACCCAGAGTCTTACCTGGCAAAGAAGGATGCAGCAGCGGAGGTGCCACTGGAGGGCGCTGTGGTGACCGGGGCAGGAGGTGGCGCAGCAGGGCTGCTGTATGCACTGGGTCGGTCGGTGTTATAGCGGTTGAGCGCGGCTTCATTAAGACCCTCCCGGTTGCCTTCTGACACCATCTGAGAAATCTGTATGCAAGTAAACATGGGTATTAAAAACAAATCTGCAAAACGGCCAACTAAATAAGAGCAAATTACTCTATTTACAGATAAACAAATGCAGTATAGCTCAGGTAATGTTCTCAGTTTGGTATTTTATGTCCCCCATGACACCTATTTTCCCTGATATGCATGGAAAAAGGGATGAAAACTCATTCTATTTGTGTTTGAACTACAGCAGCGTCTCTGGAAAGCGTCCGGGTCACGCAGTGGTGGAGAATAAGTTTAGCACAGATTCTGCCAGGCCTTCAGATAAACAACTCAGCTTAGACGTGAGTCATGAGAAACAGCCCTGATAATTGCGCTTTGAAGGGCCCACGGCACTGCTGGCTTTCTTAAACAAGCATTCAGCCAGATCCACTCAGGGAGATTTGGAAATAATCCAGACACCCTCCCCTGCCCCGGCTGTAAATAGATGGTGAGGGCACTGCTGTTGCTGTGGGCCGGGGTCTGTCGTTTCGCCCCAAATAAGGACACACGAGTCCCTGAGGAGGATGAGCTGTGCTGTACAGTGAACCAGCCGCCCTCTGTGCGTTTACCCAGAATGCTTCACAAATGTAGGAAAGTATCACCCAAATAAGCTTGGATGGACAGTGAGAGAATCCAGATCTGTGCATTTGTTGATAAAAATGTCCAGCATTGGACATACATGCATCACAAGACAATTTGGTCATGTATGTATGTGTGTGTGTGTGTGTGTGTGTATATATATATATATACACACACACACACACACGTATATATGTATGTATACACAAGTAATACATTACAAACCTATTAATATAATGATGAATCTAACAAGTTTTGTAACACATTTTTAAGACTGATTTAATGCGATCTTTATAAAAATTACTAATTATACAGGAATACTAAAACAACAAAAATTAAATGTAAAATTGTAATAAATATGAACCCCTGGAACATAAAAGTGGCAGAATTTGAAGAAACAGCCAATTGTGATTTGTTTCTGCACAACATATCTCATCAAATTAAAGACACTTTGCCACATTGCATCTGCAAACAGGCCGACCAGTACCAACAGTGACTTTCACACCTCGGAGAATGAGTGAGTTTAACCTGAGCTGTTCACAGCCAAAGGCTCATGGTGTCTTCACAGCCTCGCATGTGTTATTTCAGTCTGGCTGCAGGTATGATGGCAAAACGCACAGCTGTTTAAAAATACTCCGTGACAGCACATGACTGACAGGTATATTTAGCAGCGTTTGCACTCACTACAGTTCCTTAACACTGCATTGGTCTGGGCAGACATCCATGTGACAGTAGGTGTGTTCGCATTTGACAACTGTTGGAGTTAAACGTCTGGAATGAAATGTCACGGGAATAACCACAAACCATTAATAAACCTGATAATGTGCAGCTAATAATGAACACAATATTGATCATTTGCCAACAAATAATCAGTTTTATATAACAGTGGTCATCATAAACAATATTATCCTACTACATAGTGAAGAACGGGTCAATCTAGAAGGCTTAGTACAGAGGGCAATATGAGAAATATTAAAAAGCTTTTATACCTTATTAATGAATGGATTAAGCTTCTACATAAAGCTAAATCCTGCTCATTCGGTGCACACTTGTCAAGCGATGATCTGATGACATAATAGTCATTATCTAATTCTCACCACGCAAATCTCCCACCCCAAGACAAGCCAATTAACAATTAAGTGTTCAGAAACAGTCAATCATAACAGATCATTTAGAAGTCTTAAAGAAACAGTTCACCCAAAAATGAAAATGTGCTGAAAATGTATTCACCCTCAAGCCATCCAAGATGTAAATGAGTTTGTTTCTTCATCAGAAGATTTGAAGAAATTTAGCCTTACATCATTCGCTCACCAATGGATCCTCTGCAGTGAATGGGTGCCATCAGAATGAGAGTCCAAAGGTAGCCAGAAGTCATATAATAAATTTGTTTCTTACAAACACGCAGATTTTCACTTCACAAGACGTTAAATGATGGACTGGACTGGTGTGGATTACTTGTGGATTATTGTGATGTTTTTATCAGCTGTTTGGACTCTCATTCTGACGGCACCCATTCACTGCAGAGGATCCACTGGTAAGCAAGTGATGGGAAAAAAAATCTCCAAATCTGTTCTTATGAAGAAGCTCATCTACATCTTGGATGGCCTTAGGGTGAGTATTTCAGCAAATTTTTTATTTTTGGGTGAACTATTCCTTTAAAGTTACAATAACAAAAACAGCCTGTTTAATTCTCAAAAAAATCTCCTAAACCAAATAATGCAATAAAAGTGTACAAATATGGACTTTATGAAAAAACTTCAATGAATCTTCAGTGAATGTTTATTTTCATTGAGCTAAATGGCAATTCTATCCTCAATGGCAGCATTGAAACAACTCAGCCCTGCTCACAGCCAGTCAAATCTTTTGGGAACCCACTGCTGATTTGCCATCTGTTGTGCAGGAATGAGAAGAAGGAGCATTAAATACCAGCAGTGCCAAGAGCACAGATTGCACCTCTCAGCCCATCCTCCCATCATCTCTCCATCCATTCTCCTGCCTCACTTACTTCTCCTCTCTCTCCTCTGTCTGATAGTAGCCCTTTGTTTGCCCAAATGTAATGCCCCCATCCATCTATCCATCCATGTTCAACTGTTTGACATTGACTTTGACCTTCATACTCTTTTTGCTGGTCAATATGGCTTTGTAAAGCCAAATTAAAAGTCTTAGCTTTGCTGATATCAGCCAGATAAAGGTTATTCGAAGATCAACAGATAGCTGGCTACATTGCAAGTCTTCTGTCCAAGTTCTCCAGTTACAAATAATGCACAAATAATGTTTTTTTTATATGAACAAAAAGAATATGTTTACGCTATCCCATATTTTTAAGTTATAAATGTAGCGCCTTGTATTCTTAATTTATTAAAAAATGATTTTTTTTTTTCAAACTTACAACTGGTTAGTAATTAATAAACAAATAAAAAAAGAAAAGAAAAGAAACGGATCAGTTTAGGAACAATGCATGTTAAAATATCTGTTATTAAATTATAATATATATATATATATATATATATATATTAATCTAATTGCCTTTGAAAGATAAATAATAATCTAATTTTATTGTCATCTACAGTAATTGACACAGTCCATATTTTTATGGAATTATACAGCAGATTGTTCATATCCATGCAAAGAAATGTCTAACGCTAATCAAGTCTTATTTTGGAAAAAGAGATGCAGATTATCAATAGAGGATACTGTATTTTATGAACTTTAAATCTTGAGAAGATAAATGTGATATATAATGTCTTAGTATGTTATAAAAATTGCTAATACTAAAGAGACGAATCTCAATATTGCAGAAAATATCACTCTAGTGATTTATTCAAGCATATTAGAATGCCCTGAGCACAATTATAGCAACTTCACCGCAGATGACGGATTGCCAAGTACGTCCCTGTGCATGTGTGAAATCAATATCCAGCTCTTGTAATTTTATGGATGTCTCATTTCATGTGTTTCAACAGCAGGCCGGCCACCCCGTGTGACTACACTGGCTCCAGGTTTGCATGAGACCGGGGCCAAGTGCAGGTGTGATGGATGAGGAAGGTAGAGAACATTTCTAAGAATGGAAATTTCCTGATGCAGCAGAAATACCCAAGAGAGGAATGGAAGGATCTAAAAAGAAGCCCTTAAGTGGAGGTTTCTTTCCACCCAGTTCCCCAGCGGCCCCCTGCACACCCACAAGAAGAGACTTCCTCATTCATCATAATTAAAGCCGGAACCCACTGCACTGCCTGGATACTCCTTTCCTGGATATGTTAACTATTCTTCACTGTCCCTTGAGCGCTCTCTATATCTGTCTGTGACAGTTCACATTCACTTCTCAATTCAGATGGGATGGACAACTGGACTTACAGTCCTGGATAGGAATAGCACACTGGAGATGGGCTGCAGAAAGAAATAAAACCATGGGATATGCTAAAAAGGGATGACACATGTTTTTCACTGAGGTACAGTATAAAAAAGTACAGTAAGTATCTTAGTACAGTAGTTAGTGTTAATATGAAAAATTGAAATTTGAATGGCCACATTCCACAGGAATCTAAATATGAGTTTGAATAGAGGAAAATTAATTTACTAAATTGCAACTCAAAGAAGTTCAACTCAGCAAATTCATAATCCATCTATCGATTGATTGATTCATTCATTCATCAGTCAATCGATAGATGGATTTTGACCAACCTACTGACTGTCCGTCCATCCATCCATCCATCCATCTTTCTATTTGCCTATCCATCAGCTCACCCATCTTTGTATCCATCTGTCCATCCATCCATCATTCTTCTGTTCCTCAATCCATCCTTCCATCTTTCTATTCATTTATTCATCCATCTATCCATCAATCTGTCTATCTGTCCATCCATCCATCTTTCGATCCATCCATCGTCCATCTTTCTATTCATCTATTCATCCATCAAATCTGCCCATGCATCCTTCCGTCTGTTTTTCTATTCATCTATCCTTCCATCCATCGTCCATCTTTCTATTTATCTATTTATCCATCAATCAATCAATTAAATGATCACTTTTTTTACATTTTCAAACAAGGCTTTGTCAAGTCAACCTTTAAATTTTTCTAGTTAAAAATTATTCATACAAATTTCTTTGAAATTCCATTCATTTTTATTCTACATACTTATAGAAATTCAAATTGCAATTCTGCATCATGTTTGCTACAGTGTAAAAAAAATCTGTAATATTTACGGTAAAAACTGGCAGCTGTGGCTGCCAGAACTTTACCGTAAAAAAACTATGGCATCAACATTTTAGGTTTTACAGGTTTAAAGGGGTCATATGATGTTGCTAAAAAGAACATTATTTGGTGTATTTGGTGTAATGAAATGTGTTTATGCGGTTTAAGGTTAAAAAACACATTATTTTCCACATACTATACATACTATACAACGTACTTACGTGAGTCA